AGGGAGAGGGAGAGGGGAATTACATGTGAAACAAGCCTGTTCCCTAACTTGAATTAATAATAATAATAATAATAATAATAATAATAATAATAAGAGAAAAAAAAAAGAATTACTTTAAGGCATAGAGAGATGGCTCAGAGGTCAAGAGCACTGGCTGCTCTTCCAGAGGTCCTGAGTTCAATTCCAAGCAACCATACGATAGCTCACAACCATCTATAAGGAGATCTTGTGCCTTCTTCTGGCCTGCAGGGATACATGACTAAGCATCCTTCAGGTACATACCCAGAGGTGGCATGCAGAGAGAATTACTTTAAAAAATGGGTTGAAGAGATGGCTCAGCAGTTAAGGAGCACTGTTTGCTCTTCCAGAGGACCCAGGTTCAATTCCCAGAAACCACATGGTGGCTCACAATGGTCGGTAACTCCACTTCTAAGGAATCCAATACCCTCTTCTGGCCTCTGCAGGCATCAGGCATACACATGATGCACAGACATACATTCAGGAAACCCTTATATACAAAAAAATAACAATAATTCTCTAATTTAAAAAATTATTTAAAAATAAAAGCAGCATTGGACACACTTCTCTTTAGAAAGCTTAGTTTTAAGCTTAGTTTTCCTTTAGGGACCCCTATTTTTATTTAGAAATAAAAATAAAAGATGGGTGGATCTCCCTTTTTTTGAGACTTAAAATCCAAGTACTCATCCAAATTAACCAAAAATCAGCTCAAACTCATAAAAATCAAACTATCAGGATGGAAACAAGGTACAGTGGGAAAGGTGCTTGCTTTGCAAGCAGGAGGACCGGGGTATGATCCTTAGCACCCATGTAGAACCTCGGAGTGTTGACAAAGACCTTGGTGGGAAGAGACAGATGGGTCCTAGGGACTCACTGGCCAGCCTGCCTAGCCAAAACAGTGAGTTAGCTACACTATCATAACAATAATACAAAATGTGCTAGGGTAAAGGTAGCCCAGAAATTGTGGAGACAACAAACGCATGACTTGTCCAGCTTGAGACCCATGCCTGGAGAGGGAGCCCACCCCTGACACTGCCCGAAGAACCAGGGACCACAGAGATGGATGACCCAAAGATAGCACAAAATACCACTGGCAAAGGAAAAATTAAAAAAAAAAAAAAGGCAATGAAATGATTCCTAATTATATTCTTCTATACTTTGTAGACAGGAGCCTAGCATAAATGTTATCAGAGAGGCTTCATTCAGCAACTGATATAAACAGATGCAGAGACCCACAGTCAAACATTACACAGATCTAGGAATCCTATGGAAGAGAGAAAGTATTGTAGGAAACAGAGGTGTCAGGGTCACACAAGAAAACCCACATCATCAACCACCCTGGGTTCAAAGGGGATCACAGAGACTGACAATCTCCTAACCAACAATCGGGGAGCCTGCATGGATGTGACCTAAGCCCTCTGTATCTATGTTATGGTTATGTAGCTTGGTCTTCTTGTAAGACTCCTAATAGTAGGAACGGGAGCTATCTTTGACTCATGTGCCTGCTGTAGGGACCCTTTCCTCCTACTGGTTTGCCTTGTCCAGCCTAAATATGAAGGGAGTTGCCTAGGTCACTACAACTTGATATGCCATGTTTGGTTGATATCCCTGGAGGGCTTGCCCCTTTCTGAAGGGAAATGGAGGAGGAGTGCATACGGTGAGGGACTGGGAGGAGAGGACGGAGAAGAAACTGAGGATGTAATATTTTTTAATAAAGAAATTAAAAATATACAAAAATTAGCAAATTATAATACAGAGTGATAGAGGAAGGTACCCAACTTCAACTTCTGGCTTCCAACCACCCATGCATATAGGCAAGTGAATGCCCATGCACATAAGCATACCCCACACACTACACACCACACACACACACACAAACACACACACACACACACTACACACCACACACACACTACACACCACTCCCCCCCCACACACACACTACACATACTATACACACTACATATACCACACACATACACACACTACACACACACACATACACACACTACACATACTACACACACACATACACACATCACACACACACACCACACACTACACACACCACACATACTACACACACTTCACACACACACACACACACACACACACACACACACACAACACTCCCCCTACACTCCCCCCACACACATACATACACACACCACACATACACACACCACACACCACACACCACACACCCACACCACATACACAATACACAATACACACACATACAGAGAGACAAACAGGCCCTCTCTTTAAAAAAAGCCAACCTATAAAAAGAGGTCTAAACTTTATAGTCTTACCTTGCCACCTTGACCCACACATTCATTTAAATAGCTGATTATCTTCTCAATTAAGCATAACTTTTTCACCACAGCATGCATTTTAATATCTACAGATAAAACAATATTAAAGTTAAACAAGTGTTTTGTGGCTTTAAAAGCATTTTGAAATATATGGGACAGTTATGCACTCAACTTTCAAACAACTAAAAATATGGTATACCTAGGGCTGAAATTAGAAAACAAATATTTTTATGAATCTGCACACTGTGAAACATTTAAGTTACAAGCAATTCTTACATCTAGTCCCATGATGGGACTTGAAATATAAAAAACCTATAGAAACTAACAAACACGCAAACTATTTTAGATACTAAGTAGAACTAGAATTTTATGAACACAGGTGAATTATTTTAATTCTACATGGCAAATTTTTCTCCATATTGCTTCATTTCTTCTCTTTCCCAAATAGATGCCTTCAAAATATTTAGAATTCTCCATAAACTAATAAGCAGATATGGGTTGAACATGAACATCATTTTATTAATGAATGATTTTCATCCTTAAGTTATTAGTAGGAAATATAAAAGGAAAAATTTTAATGTACTATATATTTCTGAAAAAATATTTAATAAACATAGATTTAATATTACAATTTTAAGAAAAATTTTAAGGATTTTATACAGAGAAATACACACACAAATACAGACACATACACAGATGTTACTAGAGTCAGAAATGCTAGTTTACAGATTAGTTACAAGTACTAGCAAATAACTTACAAATTTCTCCTCTATTCTCATTAATAAATACACAATCATCTTTTTTTGCTAGTCTATAAAAAGTGGATTTCCAGTAACACAAGTATAGGATGTTTTCAACTCCACTTTTGAAACGTTAGTAATATTGAAGTAATACTCTAAAAAAGTTGTTCAATTTTTTTAACCAAAATTCTCCATTCATTCATTCTTCCTTTCTCTCATTCATTTAGAGGCAGGGCTACAGGCAGGACAGGCTGGCCTTGAATTCATCCTACTGCCAAGGATGACTTTGACCTCTTGGTCCTCCTGCCTCTACCTCCCAAGAAGTGGGAAAAGTATGTACCACCACACCCAGGTCCCTTTGTCCAGTTTTTGAGGCAGGTTCTCATTATATACTCCAGGGTGGTCACAGACTCCAAACCATTCTGCTTCTGCCTTCTGAAACTTGTGACTACAGGTATCATGACCAACATCTACATTTGTAGAGCCCATCTTCTGCAGTTTGTTTTACTGTTATTAAAACCAAAAAGGGCACTGTAGACAGGGATACATGTAAAATAGTGCAGTGTCACAGTCAGGGTTACTACTTCTGTGATAAAACACCATGAACAAAAGCAAGGTGGGGAGGGAAAGGGGTTATCTGGCTTATACTTCCACAGCACTTTTGATAATGAAGTCAGGACAGGAACTCAAATGGTAGAAACTAAGAAGTAAAAGCTGATGCAGAAGCTATGGAGGGGGCCTGCTTTCTTACAGAACCCGGGACCACCAGCCCAGAGGTGGCACCATCCACAATGGGCTGGGCCCTCACACATCAATCACGAATTAAGAAAATGCCCTACAGCCACATCTTAGGGAGGCATTTTTCTCAATTGAGGTTCCCTCCTCTTAGATGACTTTAGCTTGTGCCAAGCTGACATAAAACCAGCCAGCACAAGCAGTATGTCTCCAGCATGGTTATTTCTTTTCTTTTGGTTATACACTCAATGAAGAGCTTTCTAAATCTTATAGCAGTCCAGATTTTAAGTCTTTGAGCAGCTTGCATACTGTTTTTCATAATGGCTACACTACCCTCATTCCTATCAGTAGCATACCAGGTGAGGATCAAGCTGCTCTTTTGCTTATCCTTACCAACAGGTGGTTTTTGTTTTCTGTTTGCTTGCTTTGCTTTTTCTTTTTGATAGACATTCTATCAAACTAGAATGTGATTTTGGTTTACATTCCTATGATGGTAAGTAATGGGAGGTATGTCTTCATATACCTGTGTTCAACGATATGCCTTCATTTGTAAAGTGTCTACTGGGGTCTTTAAGACAGTATTTTAGCTGAATTATGTCTCAATCAACAAAATAAAACAAGGAGCTCCCTGCACCCCGAATCAGCTAGCACCCCACTCTTCCATTCCACCGACCGATATAGGAACTAGGTGAGTGAGTCTCTGCCCTTTCCCCACTCCCACCCAAAACATCATTCACCCTGACCACCCCCACCACCCCATCCCCGCCTATGCCTGCGGGCTTGGGGTAGACACGCCCAGGCAGGGAGGAGCTCCCTGAGCCCTGAATCTGCTAGCACCCCACTCTTCCATTCCGCCGACTGACCCAGGAACTAGTGAGGAGACTACCAGGAGAGTCAAGACTATCCAGAGTTGTGGACACTGAATTCCTGGAACCCACACACCACTGGGTCACAAGAGGAGATAGAGACCCCACCTGCACCCACTA